ATCTAATTTTAGTCTAGTTAATCCTATGTTCTTTTTACAGTTAAGAAACCAGAGGTTCAGGGAGATTAATGTGCCCCAGGTGATAAAACTAGTTATCACCAGGTCTATTTCTAGAGCGCATCCCACTGCCCAGCACGGCTGCTCTGCTGCATTTGCACCTCCAGCTATGGGACGATCAGGACCAAGCCTGGAACATCGGTGACCTTCAGCAGGATGGTCGCTAGGGAGAGATCTGAACGCCGCCAACTGCCCTGTTCTGACCTTTCCCCAAATGAGTGTGGATTCTAGAGGGACTCAGTTTGGATGAGACAGGAACTCGCATGAGATAAACGGGGCTTTGAAAGGTATGCTGCTCTTACTGAACTAGAATGGGACGGCAGGTCCCACGCGGGTAGAGGAGGCCTGAGTTTGTGGTTACGGACCGAGGAGACTGAGGTGGAGAACTGGAAGTGCTCTACGGAAAGGTCACGGTTCTGAAAGCGGAGGGAAAACAGAGGCAGGAGGACGATCTGATGCCTGGCAGGGTCTCTGGGGTGGCCAGGAAGGAGTGTGCTAACTACTAAAGCAGGAAAGGCTTGGAATCTACTTGGGGCAGGTGGGGAAGTTGGGGGTGACGGCGGGGCTTTACTCAGGCAGATAGATGGTGTTGGGTACAATTAAGAAAGGACAAAGTTCACTGCCTTGAGGTTAAGGAGAAAAAGCACAATTGCAAACTCTTATAAAGCACCCACTGTATGCCAGACACTGTTGTCTAAGTATTAATTTATTAAGACAGGATATTTCAAATGTAGGACCCAGGAGTAGACCAGACAAGCCAGTGAAGACCAAGGAATGTAGGATCATGCCTAAAGACATGAATAAAACTGTGCCAAAGAATCGTCGATAAGACCTGCTAAGCTGTTTAAGAACAGAGAATGTGCGCCTGTAACTTGGTCACCTGTGTGGGGTTTGTACTTTTGGCTGGCGAAAGCCAGCTGTGCGTCTTTCCCCAACTCTGTTTAGTGGCATCACACTGGTAGCTTGAAACGGGCCATGGTGGCAGCATTTACACCATGGAAATGGGCAAATGCTACAAATCAGGGCTCTCCTCTCCCCTCAGCCCCAATGCCACTTTGTCAGCACGCCAACCTAGAAGAATGGTGTACACATGGGGTACTGCCTCGCCGAGTTAATGAGTTCAGGCTGCTGACTCGAAGGTATTGTGTAATGTGCTGAGGATCAATCAATGAGTGAAACAGACATAGACCCTACCCTCACGGAGTTAATGATCTAGTGGGGAAAACAGAAATAGTGTTAACACAATCAATTCAATTGTGAGTAATGCCACAAAAAGAAAAATACAGTTGACTCTTGAAAGATACAAGTTTGAAATGCACAGCCCGTTATACATGGATTTTTTCAAACAAATACATGGTCCTCCATATCCACAGGTTTTTTGTCCACGATTAAACCATCTGCTGTCAAAAAACAGCATTTTCACATTTCCAACTTGTGTTCCCCAATCATGGATCAAATATACTGTTTTCCCTTCACAGTATTGAATCTGTAGATGTGAAGGGCCGACTGTAGGCAAGTTTTGGGGGAGTCTAAGTTATACTTGGGTTTTCAACTGCCTCAGGGTCAGCACTCCTAAACCCCTGTGTTGTTCAAGGGTCAGCTGTGCAGGGTGCAGCAGCCACTCTCCCCGCACATCTGACCTGAAGCTCAAGTCTCCAGCATTTTCAATGGAGAAGCAAAGCTGTTCCGAGTGCTCACGCCTCCACGTGGCACTTCCCATCAGTAAGAGCAACTTCTTCAGTGCCAGGCGGGCCACTTCCCGGGTTCTCAGGGAGGTTTTCAGCCTTAGGGTGAGAACCAGGGTGCCTCCTGAGCAGCGGCAAAGCCAACCTCCTCCACTTGCACTGGCCAGGCCAGCTCCCCACCTCTCTTCTGCTCCCCAGGACATCACGGTTTCCATGGGAACCCACTCACTTCAAAGGGAAAGGAAGGAGACCAGAGGGGAGGAGGGAGCGTGAAAGCTGAATTAACCTCACCCTCCAGGTCCCAGACGGCACCGTCCACCAGCACAGAGAGATGGGGCGATGTGGCTCAAAGCTACATTTTAACTTCTTGGGGGGAAAAATCCCGAGGTTGAGGTCGGGGCTGAGGAAGGAGAGAACTGAGCGGGTCCAAGCCTTCGGTCCCCACCGCATGGGGGCCTCCTCCTCAGACTCCCTCTCAGTATTGTTCCTGGGCCACAAACACAATTACCCGCGATATGCATCCAATCACTGGCTCTGCTCAGATTTAGACTGCAGTCATTAATCTGAGCGGGACTCCTGGCTGCCTTGCTGAGTAGCCCAGACGATGCTCTGGTATGATCCAATTAAAGACAGGCCGGGCCTCCCCTCTGCCCCTACAAGCGGGCGCACGCAACACACACACACACAACACACACACACACACACACACACACACGTGTGCGTGCTCACAGTGTCCACATCGGAAGGAACCACTATATTTCATTAACACATCCTCATATACAAATACAACCTTACAAACCTTAGGGGCACTGGCAGGCTCCTTCACTCACAGGCACCCCTCCCTTTTGTCCCTCTGCCCCTCTGCCACCCTGCAGGGGCCTGGGCAGGGAGGGGCCTCCTCTGCTCTTTCTCCATCTGTGGTTCTGGGAGGGGCCGTGGTGGGGGCTCCCAAAAGTCAGTGTGGGCACTAATCTGAATCGAGAGGGTCTCGTTACATTTACAGACATGAAATGCCAACTCTCCAAAGTGCTTTGGAGCAGCCAGGCTGCCCCAGGCAGGCAAATCTAATTAAAATTACCCGACCCTATGGGAGGCAGAGACCCCTCCCAACCATCTCACAGGGCTATGGAGAGGGCAGATGGTACTAATGGGAGCGGTGTGGTTGTGGGAGACGACCCTGGGGCAGGGGGCGGGTGGGAAGGGCTGCAGAGAAGGGAAGCTGGGCAATGGTGTTGGGCTGGGGAGTTGGGGGCAACCTGTGGAGATAACCTGGGCAAACCCCAAGGGCTGTGGAGTGGCCAGCCTGGTGGGAGAAGGTGAAGATTGCGTGTGAAGGCAAATAGGAAGGAGTGACATCCTGCTGGACAGTTCCCATGGGGGAGATCACCTGTCTACCCGGCAGCTTGGCCTGGGTGGGGAAGTAGCTTGGGATCCTGGGAAGGGCTATGGAGCCCAGGGAGCAGCTGGTGGAAACAAGCTGAGGTTTGTGCCAGATGTGGTGCCAGGTGCTCACCTGGGCTGTCTCCTGAACTCATATCAAACCTGCTGATGAGGCTCAGTCATGAAACTAAAGCTCAGAGATGAGCGCACCACTAATCTGGGGTCTCCTAGACTCTGATCTGTGCTCATTACAGCTCCCTGTCCCCAGGGCTCTGGGAAGTTGCCCAGGACCGGTCTTCAGTGCGCGTATTTATCACTCGGGATCTTGTTAGAGTGCAGATCAGGAATCCTTAGGTCTGAGAGGGACCTGAGATTCTGCATTTCTAATCGCTCCCAGGTGACACCACACTGCTCGCTGTGGACCGTCCTTTGAGTAGCAGTGATCTAAATGGAGTTTCATGGCCGTACCCCGAAGTCATCAGGTCATCAGGCAGTTCCAGAGGCCATGTTAGTTTCCTCTCCCTTCTTACACCCCCCTACTTCCAGAAGCACCAGCCCACCAGGCAAAGCTTACTGCCTGCAGGAAGCTGGGCTAGGCCTCTGCATTAGAGGGGGGGCCCGGAAACTGTGATTTATCTTTCTTTCAGGCCTGGCAAGGACCCTTGTACCAGGATCTATGGATCGGAGCCCACTGTTCTGGACCCCCAACTGTCGGCATTAGAGGCATTCAGCTCATCTGAGTAACTGAAAATAATGCCAATGATGATGATAATAACAGCAATAATCACCACCATTACCATAAAGGCACTGCCCTCTGGGGGTGCGGAGTGAGGAGGAGGGAATCAATCTCCTTCCTCTCTACCCTGGGTGGCCCATTCCATGTTACTGACATTAGCACCTGCTGCAGTGTGTGCCCAGCCATGGGTGAGCTGAGCTGCTGGTACACGTGAATGTCACATGGTGAACATGAGCTAGGGTCCAGCCTCAGTACTGAGTGTGGCCCAAGCACCTTCTCTCGGTGGTTGTGCTCCCCTCAGACAAATGAGAGTTTGGTCCCTGCTGGAGCCTCACTCAGTCCTGCTCTCAGATGACCTCAGTTTTCCCCCAGCCACTGACATAAACGGAAGTTTCCCTGAGCTCCTCCCGCCCTCGGGACCACTCGGGGCCCAGCCTTGGGTGCATGGGCTGGTGCAGAGCGGGATGAAATGAGTCCCTGCTCTCAGCAAACCCCCATCTGGGGAAGGTGCCAGAACCTACGCAGCTGCACACACACCTGTTGCTAAAAACCAAAGATGACCACAAATCAAAATGTGGTTCAAGGAACAGCTGCATGAGAGTCGCCAGGCAGGCTCTGACAGGTTCACGTTCCTCTTTCTATAGCCTGACCCACTGACTCAGCACGTCTGAGCATGGAGCCCAAAACATGAATTTAACAAGCTCTGCTGATGATTGTCAGGCATGCATACTAAAGTTCGAATAACACCGAGTCCTAGATGGTGTAATAGATGTTCAACGCTCTCGCTGGAATAAAGGCGACAATGAGACGAGGCAGGGGAGGAGTCCCCAGGCAGCCGCCTGTCTGCTAAGCTGAGGGTTTCTGGCTCATTAGGGCCCATCTCCCCAGCCGGAACGAGGAAGGGCTGCTCCTGGAAGAGACTGCCCAGGCCTTCATATCCCTCACTGGACAATACCAGGGAGCTAGTGTCAACCCCAGTGGCCTGCTGAGGGATCTCTGGATTGATCTGAGAGGGAAGGTCGAAGGGAGCAGCTGTCGGCATTGACTCTGATGAGCCCACCCACTGGCTCGCAAGCTCATCTCTCAAAGCTCGGGCCTCAAGCTGGTTGGGGGCGGCTCAGCACAGCTGAAGTGTCTCCTACCTGTACACAGCTCGCTTGTCAGCCTCCAGTTGGGCCTGGGGGTCAATGGGGGCACTGGGCACGGGAGTGCTGGCAGCAGCGGAGGGCGCGGAGATATGGACAGCCTGGGCCTTAGAGGGTGTCTGAGCAGTTGCCGTCATCTGCAGAGAGAAGCAAGAGGAGGCAGTGGGTTAGCGTGGCCAGGACAGCTGGCTCCCCGGCTGGAATTGTGAGTTCTACCTTGGCCTGCGGTGTGTGTGTGGATAACAGAGTGTGCGGAAGAGAACCGTGGGTGTGTAATGAGTGTCCATTTGTAAATGGGCTACAGTGGGAAGAAAGCAGGTCTTTTTTTCAAATGAGAACGTTCTAGAAAACAATACAGGGCCATTCAAAAGTGGGTGGTGCACAGCACACTTTAAAAGAGATGATTCTTAATGCAAACTAAGGTAGTGACCTCGGTCTAGAGCAGAAAAAACCGAAATGATGAGCGCTTTCAATTGTGCTGATGAGTCATCTGGGATACACTGGGCAATGTTAAGTTTGATTCAATAACTTTGAAGAGGAGGGAAAGAATAGCTGAGTTCCTTCTCATTTGGGTGGAGGTCTGTTCCATTTCCTGCAAGCCAGAGGTACCTGTTTTAATGGTTTCGACTGAAAACTGAATGGTTCTCCAAATTTGGTTTACCTGGGCACCTGAAGATAAGAGGATTTTAGCAGACACTGGGCAAGCTTCTGTTCTTAACCAGCACACATATTCAGAGCAGCTGTTTCCCTCCTGTTACATGTTTTAGAAGGTGCCTATAGGGCCCACCCCCCCCTTTTTTTTTTTTTTTACAATCAGAGCAACTCTTTTTAATATTATATGTTGAATTTTCTATACAACATAGAAAATTCTCTGCTCAGATGCCAAGAAATGGTTAAATGGTTTAAAAATTTTTGATAACCATCATTACAGAATATAATGCTTTTGTATTATATTTCCTTTAGTCAGATGGATCCCTAAAATGTCATGAATGGTGACATGTCTCAACTGTTGTCTTCCTCCAGCCTGGCCATAGCACCACGACAGCTCTGACCCCTGTGCCACTGGGCTCACAGACTTTCTGCCTCCTGCATAAAGCTTCATCCACAACCTCACCCCCAGCACCCGCCCGACACAGAGTAGAAGCTCAGGGCTCGTTGAGAAAATAAATAAGTGGGTAAATGAATGAATATGCCGTGAAAGAATCAGATATTTTACAGCTAGAAAGTCTATCATATGATCCGGGTCCTTGCTTTGAAAGTATTGTACTTCCATGAATATGGCGCAGTATTGCCGGTGCTGATGTCCCCGAGACACCTGCAGTTGGTTTCTGCTCACGTGTCGTGTCTACAGAGTAACACAGAGCCCCCCGCCCCTTGCAGCCCCCGTCCTCTGCCTCATTTCATAGTCCTCATCATGACCAGGCGCTACAGAGCTACTTGCTTCATTCTTTCTCTCCCATCCCCAACTAAAACTCAAGCTCAAAAGGGGCTTGATTAACAGCTGTATTCCTAGGGCTCAGAATCGCCTGGCACTAGTAGATGCTCAATAAATATTTGTTGAATCAATGAATTGAATGAATGAGTGATGGACAGTGAATGAGACTGAGACTATAAAAGGAATGTAGCTACTTTACTATACTCTGTCCCCATCACTTTTTGTTAGGATGAACTATCCTTGTTGCTGTTGGCTGAGCTGGGGGAACTTTCCCAGACTCGGTGCACAAGAGGCTGGACATCCATCACGGTACCTTGAATCCTGCTGTCCACTGTTATTAGCTTGTGATCTGGGGCAAATCCCTTAACTTTCCCGAGCTCCTGTTTTCTTATCAGTAAGCAAATTGGTACCCTTTCAGGATTCATGAGATCTATACAGAAAAAAGTAGAAACCAATGTTGCTGCAATTTCCAAAATAGAGAAAGAAGGTGGAATCAGAAATACTAAATATTGCTAATGTTCACATTAATCCGGGCCGGTTTCTCTCATTCATGAACGCAACCGATTACTTCTTCAAGTGCCCCTACCATGTACTGGGGTCACAGGCCGAGAGCCAGCTATAATGGAGCTCAATTTCTGGATTTAACACGCTTTCTAAGCTGGCAGGTGAGGCAGATGTGGCAGACACGGATGGAGGAGTGACCTCAGCACAGTACCTCGCACGGTAATCTTGTGGAAAACAGGGAGAGAGCTGCCTGGGTGGATGGCTGTGGGAATTAGTCAGTGTCCCCCAAAGGGCGACATTAGATGGCAGATGGCAGTGTGAGGAAGGCGTCTATGAGAGGGCCGGCTATATGCTCTCTACTCAGCCCTCTTCTTCAATATTTCTATCCGCGATTTAGAGGATGTCTGAAGAAATACCCAACAAATTTATGGGTGACATGAAACTGAGATCCAAAAGATCTTTATAAATGTTGGCAACACACTGAGTCCAATAAGATTCATTTTCATCTAATAAGTCGGAACTTGACACTTTTAACACTTTGGCCAAAAAAAAAAAAAAAAAAATCAGTAATATAAGTGCAGAACAGGGAAGACATGGTTTAGCAGCGCTGTTTTTTGTTGACAGCAGGCTCATTATGTCCAAAGTGTTATATGTCTGTCGAACAACCGAATGAAAAAATGACCTAAGTTGATGCAACCTGAGGCTGCACTCAGAGAGGCACAGCCTGCACAAGCTTCCAGCCCCGTCCACTGTGCTGAGACAGGCGCAGGAGGGTTGACCAGTGAAGGGATCCTGCGTTACGTCGTATGAGGAACACTGGAAGGAATCGGGAATGTGTGGGAGATCAGGGAGAGGGGAAGGTGGAGAGGCGGGAGAGCCCCCTTGGACTATCTGAACGAAAGATTCGATTCTATCACTTTTGTTCTGTATGCCCCGAAGAGTCAAACTATGAACAGTGCATTAAATCTATCTAACCCGGAGGCATATTTGGGCTCAACCCAAGGAAGTCCCCAAGCCACCTAGCTCTCCAAGGCTGGAACAGGCCGCCTCCAGGACAGGGTGAGTTTCCACCGCCGCAGAGACTGGCTGACCGGCGGGGCCCCTTGGAGGGGAAGGAAGCATTCCAGCTGGTGGCTGGGTTAGGCGACATCTGAAGTCCCTTCCGACACGGGCAGGCTCGGACGCCATAAGGATGCTTTAATAATCACCACCCACCGCGCAGAGCTGGAGCGAGGCTCGGAGGAGATGATGCACGGGGTTGGAGGGAGGCTCGGATCAGATGATGCATAGTTTGTGAAAGTGCTCTGGAAGCTCTGAAGTGCTCCCCAGGTAGAGGGTGATGGTTGTTATTAAACACGAGATTTCCAGAATGCGCTTCTTTCCTAAAGCAAGGCGTAGCTGTGTCTGCACAGCTTGTTCACGAGTGAAATACAGGCCAGGCTGCTGTGCTTCGCTGCCCACTCAGGGTGCATTTCCTCAGGCACTCGGAGGAGCCTGCAGGGATCTCCCAGGAAGATGACAGGAGACAGGGCTGAGGGGCCCTGCTCTTTTCCCTCTCACCTCCCCCTCTCAGGGCAGGGCTTCGGGAAGGTGGGGGGAGGCCCTGCTGGGTGACAGAGGAAAGCACAGAATCAAATGTAATCAGAGGCGGTCACTTGCCAGCGTCCCAAGAGGCCCCAGCTGAGAGGCTGTTATGGGGGCTCTGAGGGGGGAGGGGGAAAAGAGAGCAGAGCTGGCTCGAGAAGGATGGTGACTCAGATGTATTTAGCTTTTGGGGGCCAATTCAGCAAACTCTGCATTACCTCCAGGTTTGGAGAATGTGTTTATCTCCAAACAGATTTCTTTTTCTAGCCAGAGATACCCGTATTTCAAGAACTGGTGCTCGAAGGGAACAGCCCAGCAGCTGTCCATTGGGCCTGGGACCAGGGGGTGGGGTGACTTGTGGTGGGGGGCTGGGGGTTACCCGGAATTACAGCCTAAAGAGCAGGAGCAGGGAGAGACCGGGTGGGCCAGGACTGGGTGTCACCCTTCAGTGGCAGTCAGGAGCTCCCTGGGTCTGGCCTGTGAAAGCCAACTTAAATTTTCAGGAGTTTTGCAAGCTGGTTAATATCACATTGGTGGCTCAAGCCTCTTCCGACCTCCACCCAGAGAGCTGGTTGTTAAATATTTACTAGCACACGACTGGAGTCAGGTTTTCTCTCCAATTCTCCTCAATCTGGCAAGCAAAGAAACTAGAAACTGGGCATACACGCCATAAGGCCACTTGTGTCCACAGCTGGCTCTCGATTGGCTGCTCCAGGCTCTGAGCCTTCCTCCAAGGAGACCTCAGCGTCCCCTGGAAATCCTGCTTAGGTAGCAACTGGGGACAGCAGTTGCTTAGGGTGTGGGTACAGCATCGTGCAGACAGGAGGACCGTCCCTTCCCTACAGGGGAATGAGGCACAGAGGAGCAGAGGCAAACTTGAACACTGTCTGGACAGCTTTCCGGACAATCAGACAAGCCTCAGAGAGTGGCAGGAGCAGGGGACCCAGGTCCGGGGTTTGACGCTCCTCTGCCAGTTATTAGCTATGCACTGCGCGGTGAATTCCCTGGACTTTTGGAGGCTCGGTTTCCTTATATATAAAATGCAGGGACAACACCTGCTCCATGTGAGACTATGAGGATTAATCAAGAGAACAGGGTGGCCCTGGCTGGGTGGCTCAGTCAGTTGGAGCATTGTCCAGTCCACCAAAAGGCTACGGGTTTCGTTCGGGTCAGGGGTCAGGGGTCAGGGCACATACCAAGGTTTTGGGTTTGATCCATGTTTCTCCCTCACATCGATGTTTTTCTTTCTCTCTCCCCCTTCCTCTCTCTCTAGAATCAATAAAAAAAACATATCCTGAGGTGAGGATTTAAAGAAAAGATGATGACTAGTGGGCAGGGAGGGTAGGAGCATCCACTGGACGGCCACCACTGTGAGCTGTGAGCTGTGAGCTGCGAGCTGTGAGCTGTGAGCTGCGAGCTGTGGGGCTGTGTCCAGAGCCTATGCAGGCTTCTATGGTTCCAACCTCCTCTAACCCTGGGGTACTTTCTCGGGGCAAAGACCCTGGGCCACCACTCCACACTCTGCCTCCACAGATGCTATAACCTCTGCACTTCTGCCATCCAGCTGGGTCCAGCCTGCCTGGGAGCTAAAGGGCCTGACTAATCTTGGCTGTG